ACATGATGGTCAATTGAGAAAACAATGATTGAGCCTTCGGGTAAGCCACTCTACAATAAATATTATGCAGCGTCATTTGTAGAGGTATTTTCCGCCGTTTTTCTTTACGTTTCTCACAGAAGGTCCAGCTAACTAAAGCCCATTAATGGAGCAACAACAGACTTGGCCCCCCCCCCAAATGATATCCTTAAAATAAGATAGAGGATGAACCATTTAAAATATCGTTAAAAATACAGATATTGAGAGTCCAAAAGAAATCATTAAGTCTTAAAATAAGCTATATTTCATCAACTGTTGAAAAGGAACGGGTGCAGTAAATCCGCCATTTTAGCAACTGAGAATTCGGTTAATAAAATATAATTGATAATGATATTTACATGTGTTTACTCTCTTTATCTATCTATCTATCTATCTATCTATCTATCTATCTATCATTATCATTTCTTTCTCTACTCCTTATTCTCACTCTTTGTTGTCTGTCTCTCTCTCTCTCTCTCTCTCTCTCTCTCTATATATATATATATATATATATATATATATATATATATGTTTGTGTGTGTGTGTATATATATGTATATATATATATATATATATATATATATATATATATAGATAGATAGATAGATAGATAGATAGATAGATAGATATCTGTCTGTATGTGCGGGGTGGGTAGGGGTTTGTGCGAGTGGGTGGGTGGCATTTGAATCCGTTATTTCTTCCCAGAAGTCACCGGTGTCCAGCACCCGGACGAGCTGGATTCGAAAATGTCATCGGTGTGCTTTCTCCAACTGAGGGGGCAGGAATCATTTCCGTTTTTCGCAGTCTAGGACAGTTTACTACATCATTCTGCGCACACCGGGTTCAACAAGTGCATGTTTGAACTTTGGCTTAAATATAGAAATTGGGGTCGTCTGGTTGAAAATATAATTTTGGTGTAAATGAGTGCAGATAAGAAGTCTCCAGTAAACTACATACAAACACCCCCAACACAAATAAAAATATGTATGTGGGTTTGTGTGTGTCTGTGTTTGTAAATTTTCTGTACGTGTGTTTGATTTATGCATGGTTATAGTGTGTGAGCGTGCGTTTGTGTTGTGTGTGTTTGTGTTGTGTGGGTGTATGCGTTCATAAATATATTTGGCTCTGGATAAAACAAAAAGCCTCCATAGTTCTCTCTCTCTCTCTCTCTCTCTCTACACACACACGTACACACACATATATATATATATATATATATATATATATATTATAAATTAATTGATTTAAATATGTCTTTTTTCGCTACACAGTTCTAACCATGTTTCAAAAATGGAAGCTAAAAGCTCCGAATTTAATTTTGTAATTAAATTAAAGACATTAGTTCCATTTCATCCTCAAGCGAATTTTGGAGTAACTTAAAATTACTGGGTTTTAAAGACACGGCTAAAATCCTAATTCACGTTTCTAAGGTTACAGATAAATCCACTTCCACCAGACAAGGGGTGTTTGCATGTTCATTATGTCTGTATTTTAATGTATCAGTTATTAGTTACGTTTTAGTAGGGGTAGGGATGTATTTTTCAATTAAATCTGACATCCGTTAAAATGCATGTCGTCTGGATTTTTTAAAATTTTATTGTTAGCGGCAAAAATTCTTACAGCATTTTTTTCTATTTGTATATTTAAAGATTTTTGGGTGGTGTTTAGGTTAGAATACGTTTTATTTTACTACGATTTGAAATATTTTCACTTTTAATTTTTAATTTTTAATATACTATATTTCTTTTAAGAACAATTAAATGTATTAGAATCCCTTACAGTATGTAGAATTATTTTCACTTCAAGTATAAGTATGTATGTTATTAGGTAACATTTTTTTTAATATATTTAAATATTATTTAAGTAAGATTTATGACAATGACGGCAAAAATAGCTAATTAATTTCAATGATTTAGTAAACTTTTATTTTTATATTTTTATATATATATATATATATATATATATATATATATATATATATATATATATATATATATATATATATATATATAAGATAACGATATATTTTTATATATATATATATATATAAATATATATGTTTTATATATCAAGAAAATTGTATGATAGTGGAAAAAGTTTATTTGTGACGCGTTTCTTCATTGAGGACTTCATCGGACTAAAGTCATGTTGTTACGACTACATGAGATTCTAAATAAATTCCACTAGATACATAAAAAATAAAAATCTAAAATCCCCAGTCATAGCAACATAAGAAATGTAGTCCGATGATGTCCTGAAGGACGAAACGCGTCAAAAGTAAACTTTCTTTTAACATACAAGTTCATATATATATATATATATATATATATATATATATATATATATATATATATATAGATAGATAGATAGATAGATAGATAGTGGTCCACAGACCGAATGCTTCGCTGTATCACAGATCGAAACCCGAATGTCATGCATGGCGCCAAACTTGTTCTAAAATATTTAAAATATCTGCTATATACAAACGCTTTCTAAGATCAATGGTTAAAAATGGCTTTGAGCGAGTGAATCCTAATGGTCTTGCCAAAGACCATTCTTCTATTGAACGTTGTGCACTGGCGCTGCAGAATCCCAAAGAAAGAACTGCATCAAATAACAGAAACCACATCACTTGAGGACTTTTAACAACAGCAACAACATAAATGTATGGCACATGTAACTCTAGGGAGAAAATAATGGCGTAATAAAGGTGTTGATGTTCCATGTTACTTCAAACACAAGGTTAGGAAGGATCCCACATCAATACTGGCAAATCGATAACAGTGGAGGTCAGGAACTAGAAAATTGTTTAAGATAGATTTTATGAATATCAGTTGATAGTAGCACTAGTTGCTCGGTCAATGAATGCCGAATATTTCCTTATATGGAAACATCCGTTTATAATTATCATTATCATAGGAAATCAATTTTCTCTCTTTGCTGATAGAATTTCGTCTTCGAGGCAAATTTTATATCTTTAAACGTAGCAACCGTTATATCTGTTCTATTGTATAGCTGCTCATCATGAACCCTTACCTCACACCGTCCTGGGTATAACGATAAACTACATCCGCGTCCTGGGTAAGACGATAAACTACGTCCAACAGCAAGGCCTCTGATCAGGAGGTTTTGAGGAGCGTGAAACCATCTCTTAATTTCTGGTGTTTCCAGGTCCACTCTGACCCGGGATGTTACCACCTGTTAGGGTCCCAGCTATGGGTAAATAGTTAAACTCCCATACTGGGGTCAAACACTATGAAAGCGTAAAAATATGTTTTAATACCAGAAATACTTTGTAAAAAATTATTAGCAGCAATATATGTTTGAAGAAAAATCATTACCAGTAATACATCTTTGAAAAAAAATATTACCAGCGATTCATTTTTGAAAAAAAAGTATTACCAGCGATTCATTTTTGAAAAAAAAGTATTACCAGCGATTCATTTTTGAAAAAAAAGTATTACCAGTGATTCATTTTTGAAAAAAAAAATATTACCAGTGATTCATTTTTGAAAAAAAAAAATTACCAGTGATTCATTTTTGAAAAAAAAGTATTACCAGCGATTCATTTTTGAAAAAAAAATATTACCAGCGATTCATTTTTTTTTAAAAATATATTAACAGCGATTCATTTTTGAAAAAAAAATATTACCAGTGATTCATTTTTGAAAAAAAATATTACCAGTGATTCATTTTTGAAAAAAAAAAAAAAAAATTACCAGCGATAAAAATTTTGTTGGCATTAAATAACACATTGAAGTTGAAATGCCGTAAACCAAACAAAACCAAACCAGACTTACCTCAAACCTGGAAAGAAGTTTGGATGGAGCCTATCCTCACATGGTAAGAATGACTTTCAATGATACTTGGAAGGATCTTCCGACCAATGAATAATTCTTTGGGAACCTTCGTCCAGTACCCGATATCATCAAAGAGTGTAGAATAAAATTCGCAGGATTTTCTGAAAAGCTAAAGACGAAATTGTTAGTAAAGTTCTTTTGAGATAGCCGACACAAGGAAGAGCTAGCAGAAGAAAAGCCAGCACCTATATTAAGCAGGTTTGTAACGGCATGTACTCCAATCCTTAGTGAATATGATGAACAATAGAATTGGATCGAGTTACGGGAACCCGTGCACACCGTACGAACAGCTGATTATAACATATACCATGCTAAACTTTTCATTCGTCAGTCAAAATACAAACAAGACAAGCTCATGACTATTTACGATAGGATAACGTATTTGCCGAATATTGATTTTAAATGCAGTAGTTTATCCCACCTTGAGTCTGACTTGACTAACAGCTAATACAGAAAGACTTCATTTCGAAATGACGAAAATAAGCAGGCAGGTCCAGTTAAAGCAAAGCAACAGACAGGACAGTTTCAAAGCAATAATTGATTCATTAGTTCAACAATGTTTGGTGCGTTAAACATGTAAATGATCTTTGTATTGGTTGGTGGAAAATAGTTGCCGGGCCAATGAAGAGAGAAAATGCTCACTTAAAATGGTAGAGTTCTCGCCCTCCTTGAAATGCAGTGATTACAGTGCAAATAAATCAGGGTTATTACATTTAATATTTACCGATTCGATGATATGATAATTTAGGATATTTCGTCTGAGATTAGCAGTTAGATCGACGATCATCAGTAATTCCAACCTCTTTATATTGCTCTGATTCAATAAGCACAATGTGACTTTCCTTCTTTCTTTCTTTTTTGTTCCATTTGGCCTTTTCTTTCTTTCTTTCTTTCTTTCTTATTTCCAACTATTCAACTAGTATTTGACTTGTACCCTTTTTCTCTTTCGGTTTTTTATTTATTAGATATTTTTGATATCTTTCAAAATTTTCCTTCTTACATTTCTTCTTTTCTTCGTTCCTTCTTTACTTCATTCTTTCTTTCTTTCTTTCTTTCTTTCTTTCTGTTTGTTCGGTTATATTTTAATTTTTGATTCCTTAGAATTTTTCTTCTTTATCTAATATGGTTATTAATATTGGCCTTTCTTTCTTTCTTTCTTTCTTTCTTTCTTTCTTTCTTTTCTTTTCTTTCTTTCTTTCTTTCTTTCTTTCCAACTATTCAACTTATATCCACATTCTCTTTCGTTTTTTTTTCTTCATTAGATTTTTTTATATCTTTTTCAATTTTCCTTCTTTTATTTCTTCCTTGTTTCATTCTCTCTTTCTGTCCATTTATGTTTTATATTTTGATTCCTTAGAATTTTTTCCTTTTTTTTTATAGACTATTATGATTATTTGTATAGCCTTTTCTTTTTTCTTTTTCTTTCTTTCCGTTTGCTTATGTTACATTATTTTATTGCTTTCTTTTTTCTTTTTGTATTGCCAATATATATTCATATTGCGTCCTTCCTTTCTTTCCTTTTTCTTTCTTTCTTTCTGTTCGATTGTTTTATTCTTTTGTTTCTTTCTTTTTTAATGCCTCATATGTTTATTCACATTATACCTTTTCTTTCTTTGTTATGATTTTTTATTTCTTTATTTCTTTATTTTCTTTTTTGCATATGTTTATTCACATTACTCCTTTCTTTCTTTCTTTCTTTCTTTCTTTCTTTCTTTCTTTCTTATTCAATTGGCCAGAGTTAAACTTACAGCAAATTGTTTGTACACTTGACCTTGTAAATCCCGGACAGTTGTTCCTATTGATTTTGTAATTTTATAAGCAATGTACCTTTCTCTATCAACATGGGGAATTATTTATTATGATCCGGCTTGATTGAATCAGTGTTTTAGATTTCCAAATTCATAGGCAAGACGTGCGCAAGAAAAATAGCCAATCTGTTAACAGCTTAACTTTCTTAGTAGTCCTCACGATGTACGTGTTCGATCTGAGAGAGCACATTTTCCCTGCTGTTTCTTTTCTAAACAAATACGCTCAGATTACTTGCACAACATACAGAACATGAATATTTTGTTTTGTCTGACATAAGGCTAGAAAGAGGAAAGCTATTATGGGGGTCACATCGAACAAGTTTTGCAAAGTACGAAGCGCCTGTCTTCCTGGAAAATTAGAATTTAAAACTTGGGCTACAGCAATGACAACTAGCACAATAGTTAAAATATGCCATATTATCACGAACTACGCAGTTGCATATCACTCTTTGTAGTTGTTTCTTCTTTTTCTTCTTTCATGTGCCATGTCCCTTCAAGACGTGGACGATCATGGCTCTCCACGGCATCCTATTTCTATAGCTCTTCATATGGTTTGGCTTTTCACCATCCTTCCCACTGTTCTAACATCTATTCACACAAGATCGTTGGGAAGGCAACTCGGTACATTCCTCTGTCTCTGTTGCATTCAACATGTCCTGTGAGTCTCAAATTCTCCGAGCTCGCTTTCCTCATCACGTGTCCTTGAAATATATCTGTCTCTTCCTAAATCTAAATACAAGCATCCTTTTTCTTTCCGTCACACTGACATTTAAAGCAGTTACTAACTGAGATAATTTGATGAGAAATTAGAACTTCCTGCAATATTATACCATCGTTGACGCAAAAGGCGAAGCGTCAAAAGAACAGGACTTGCCTCGACACCGCTATTATTTTCCCTAGATTCACTCCTCGGCAATGTTTTTTTTTTTTTTTTTTTTAAAGCGATGAAAAATACAGAGCCTATACTAGAAAGAAACCGTCTGCATATGAAATTAAAAAAAATATAAAGTGTCATAAGACAAGGATGTGTCTTCTCACCGGACTTATTGATCATTTACAGTGAATGTGATTCTGAGATTTTTTTCAGGCAGTCAAAGAAAAATTACAGAATATCTGACTTTATAGTATAAGTAGTTTAAAAGTTTTAAGCATGGTTACTTGTTCTTTAAAATAAACTTATGAAATGGATCATTACGATGTTTCAAGAAACCAAATTTTGAGGAATGTTTAGGATAGATGAATATTCTTATGAAGTGAAATCTCCTTCGTATTTCATCGGTACAGCGGTAGTCGTTTATGTCGTATACCGAGGGCTACTCTACCGTTATTGCTTGAGCATTTTAAGGGATAACGTATTTTTTATCGGCAACTCCAGTGTTACAAAATGTAATATCCTTCGCATTTTTCCAGCCCAGCAGTAGGCGTTTATCTCGCTGATACGTTGTTTATACCGATACATTGTTTATACTCTTACTAGGTGGTCATTTATATAGTGTATGACATAGCTAGACAAACTCGGCAGTCAGTTACATATTACGACAAATTTTATATGGGGCAGGGTATCAAGGTACTGGCAACTCGATCAGTCGCCCGGGACGCCATCAAGTTTGAGGACGCCATCATGCTGCCATGTCATGTATTTGGGATCTACCAAATAGAAAATGATCTTGTAAAGAAGATAGGTGTAGAAATTGCCATGAAAAGATTTACAGATATAAAGGCTAGAACAATGTTTTTTTTTATGTAGTATAATGAATGTTTTCTTTGGCTTGTATTAAGTTGTATATTGTAATAAGATCGTTATTCTACATTTTCAATTTTCGACCTTGTGAAAATTTAAACAAAAAATGTACTTGTAAGGTCACCAAAGTTCAGCTTGCCCGAGGTGCTAGCAACTCTAAGGCTGTCACTAATACAGAGTGTATTACATAAGTCTTTTATTCAGTCGTATGGCAAAGATCTCAAGGGATTAAAAAAAAACGAAAATGATTCAAACACGTTGCACTAAAACAAAACTGTGTTTTTTTTACACGGATTCAGATCTATTAAACATAACCATGAGTTAAATCCAGGCATATCATTTGAAAGAATTAACGAAAGAGTAATCCAGTCTTTTATACTTGTTAGTTTGTCTAACACAAATGCCAATGTATGCATACTTATGTTTTATAGATTATGCAAAAGCTCGATAAATTACTAAATAACTGTTTGAACTGCTCGGTAAACTTGATCTCTTTGGGAAGGATATTAGAAAAATACAGAGCCTATACTAGAAAGAAACCGTCTGCATATGAAATTAAAAAAATATAAAGATCTGTGTCATAAGACAAGGATGTGTCTTCTCACCGGACTTATTGATCATTTACAGTAAATGTGATTCTGAGAGAATTAGAAGTCTTAACAGGATTTATTACTGGCGGCCACGATCTTTACAATATAAGATATTTTAAGACATTTTATGTTCATACATTCTTTTTATGGATAGAAATATTTAAGTAAATTCTCTGTTTTATAATAAATAGTATTAAATAACATTTACCGGCCTGAATGTCTGAGAAGTTTTCACTGTCGGAGGACGAATATTTTCTGTGAAAATTTCTCGGACAATGTTGTTTAATACTGTTTATTATAAAACAGAGGATTTACTTAAATATTTGTATCTATAAAAAGAATGTATAAACATAAAAATGTCTTAAAATAATTGTCGGATTTTGTCTGTTTCATAATATAAGATATGCAGATGATACTGTTTTGATAGCAGACACGTAAAGTAAACTAAAGGATTCCTAAAGAGAAGAAAGGGCTAAGACTCAATTTTAAGAAAAAAATGTATAGTTGTCAGCAAACGGGACAACCCAAGTCGGAATTGGAAACGTCAAAATCAAACAAGTAAAAAGATTTAAATATCTAGGAACTGAAGATGCGACACTGCAAGTCGAAGGTAAATTGGGATAACGAAAAACGTTTTCCAAAAAATTAAGCAAAGTATTAAGAAACAGAAAAGTTCGTTAGAAACAAAGAAAAGCGTACTGTACTGTTTTGTAATATCTGTCCTCCCTATCTGACAGTGAATACTGGACAATCACACAGATGAAGAAGAGATTTGAGGCAACAGAAATGTGGTTCTACTGAAGAAAGATGAGAATAACATGGATTGAACAACGACGAATTCTTAGCGAAAATGGTAAGAAAAAGGACACATACTTAGAATCAGAAACAGAAAATTGTAATTTCTAGAACACATGATGAGGAAAGAAGGCTTGGGAAATTTAACACTTACAGGACACGTTGAAGGCAAGTGGAACATTGTGAATCAGCGAATAGCCTATCTAACGAGTTTGTGTAAATGATTGTTAGAAGAAGCATTAAACGAGATACAATATATATATATATATATATATATATATATATATATATATATATATGAAATTTACTAAAAGCTACAAAAAATAAGAAAGTTGTTGAAGACCCTGATCGGCCATGTCCTGAAGGAACACGACACAAAGAATTAGAAAAAGCTTGTCCAACAGTTTGATAAACAGTTGGTTAACAGTTGGTCGAGCGTATAATAAGTTTTACTAGGATTTATTGTTGGCGGACACAGTCTTAAGAACATAAAATATGCAGGTCACATAGTGTTAATAGACAGAGAGAAAAAAAACAGCAGGAACACGCAGGGGACATATTAAATTAAAGCGGGAAGAAAGGACTAACCATTAGAATGTATGGTTGTCAGCAAGAGAAGTATCCCAGCATATGAACTACGAATCGAACTGAAAGAGATCAGGCAAATATGAAAATTTAAATATCTTGAAAATATTTCAACAGATGACGGAAAATGTAACACCTACACCCGAAGGTGCACTGGAATTGCTAAAGTACCATCCAAGAAGGGCACTAAATGTTAAGAAACGGGGAAATTTCATTAAAGCCTCAGAAAGTCAACTGAAATCATATGCAATATCTGTCTCTTTATATCTGTTCCTCGGTGTTGTGGAGTAGCTGAACACCCCCACAAAGTGGACTGGTCTAAGACTATTTAAACATCACCTTCTCTTACTGAGGGAGATGAGTTAACGATTGTTTACTCTCTGCCTTCGGGCAGACAGTAACTCAGACGATGTTATGCCTACGGGCAGAGATTCGTCTGGGGAGGTAGACAGCTACCCGACCCCGTCTATGAGGGGTCTACGGAGAATTTTCGCCATCCGAGCACTCTCTCTTAATGAGGGAGATGAGTTAACGATTGTTGACTCTCTTCCTTCGGGCGGAGAGGAACTCAGATAAGGCTATGCTTACGGGCAGCATTCGTCAGGGGAGGTAGACAGCTATCCGACCCCGTCTATGAGAGGTCTACACGGAATTTTTGCCCGTGCGTAGGCGCTCGGAGAACCCCACTTTAAAATCTGGCCTTGTGCCACATCCCGCCTTGTCGATGAGTTAACGATTAATCTTCACTCTGCTTGTTGACTCTCTCCATCGGGCGGAGAGGGGCCCAGACAAGGCTATGCCCTACGGGCAGCCTCGTCAGGGCTCTACGGAGACTTTTGCCATAATGTACGCGCTCGGAAAGCCCCACGTTAAAACCGTCCTTTTGCCACATCCCGCCTTGCGGGGGGTGGGGTCTCTGGTTAATTCCGAGGTGTTACCGATTAACTCTTTATTAAATTAGTCTATGTTCTCAACTGTGCACCATATTATTCTCAGGAATAAACTACTTCTTACTTTCTATATGTGCGCAAATCTTTCCTATTTACGAAAAAAACATTGTGAATGCTGGACAACTTTCTAAGAATCTCGATACAACAGAAATTTGGCTCTACAGAAGGATGCTGAGAATACGATCGATTTATCATGTGAGTAACGAGGATGTTTTAAGTAAAATAGAGACAAAACTGACTCTTACACTTAGAATCAGAAAGACGCAGTAGAAATTTCATGGACAGATAACGTGGAAGGAGAGCTT